CCTGAGTTGGAGTGTCACTCTGTCGCCCAGGCTGGAGTGCAATGGCGCGATCTCGGCTCACTGCGACCTCCGCCTCCCGGATTCAAGCGATCCTCCTGCCTCAGCCTCCCGAATAGCTGGGTTGACACTCACCTGCCAGCACACCCCGCTAAGTTTTTGCGTTTTTCGTAGAGACGGCGTTTCTCCATGTTGGCCAGGCTGGTCTCGAACTCCCAACGTGAGCTGATCCTCCCGCCTCGGCCTCCCAAAGTGCTGGGATGACAGGCGTGAGCCACCACGCCTGGCCAAGATTTTTTATCACTTGGTGATCCTTGGTGACGTTGTTTTGGGGAGTTGAACTCAGCATCCTGAGGAAGGCACTCTGGCGGCCTGGGGCTCCCTTCACCCTTCCCCTCTCTGTCCCTCAGATGTGTCCGGATGCAGCAACTCTTCCCCCCGGTTCCCAAAATCAAAGACAAACTCAACGATGAGAATCAGGTGGAGGACCAGGTAGGTAGGTAGGGGTGGGCGGAGCGGAGAGCCGGGGTGGAAAGCCGGGGAACGGGGAACGGGGACACGGGTTCTGAGTGTCAGCCGCCCTGCTTCTCCGCCAGCTGGGACCTCAGCGTCACCACGGGCTGTGGCCGGAATCTGTATCCAGCTCCTGGGTCTTCCACCTGGGTTTGGGTCAGGGTGTGGTGAGGTCGTGGTCAGCGTTTTCTCTGTGAGCTCCATCAGGAGAAACTGAGGCGGGTGGGTGGTCAAGAAAAGGAGGAGAAGAAGGTAGACCGGGCCGGGCGCGGTGGCACTTTGGGAGGCCGAGGTGGGCGGATCACCTGAGGTCAGGAGTTCAAGACCAGCCTGGCCAACATGGTGAAACCCCATCTCTACTAAAAATACAAAATGAGCCGGGTGTGGTGACGCACGCCTGTCATCCCAGCTACCCGGGAGGCTGAGGCAGGAGAATTGCTTGAACCCGGGAGGCGGAGGTTGCGGTGAGCGGAGATCACGCCATTGCACTCCAGCCTGGGTGACAGAGTGAGACTCTGTGTCAAAATGAAAACAAAACAACCTCTTCTCCAGAAAACCTCAGCGTTTACCATTTAGACCTTTGATTAGATGAGGCCCAGCTTTTCCTCTTTAGAATCTTCAACTGATTAGATGAGGCCCACCTCCCCCTTAGGCCTTAGACTGATTAGATGAGGC